TGGGTGACCTTCATCTGTTTGCGTGTGGTTTTTTGTTAGCCTAAGAGATTTGATGTACCACTATTTTATATATTTGGTATACTCAATTTTTACTCAAATAAATTTGAACAAGCTGGAAATAATATCAGTTACTCTACAAAGACTTCAGAGCAGGTAATAAATACCCTATGAGGGCCGTAAAGTGTTTTAGTAATGGTATAGTAGACTCTTTAAAAATTAGATTCCAGACAATGTCTCTCCCTTGAGAGTGTAAAGACTTCTGTAACTTCATGTTTTTCTTTTCCTAAGGCTCCATGGGCCTGCTTTTGACTATGATTCCTGCCCTGTTCTTTTTAAGTTCAGAGTAATAGAAGTGGGCTCCTCTGTGAGTAACCCTGCTTCCAGCAATAGGCAAAACGACAAGTCTGCAGGTTCTGCTGAGCGTGTGCTCAGTGCATTGTGGAGGCACGTCTGGTTTCAAAACCCTCCCAGAGACTTTCACACTTCTATAAGTAGATTCTACGTGGGGAAATGGGAAACTGATAAATTGGGAAAGCAAATCTGGAATAGCCCAAGAAGGTATGGGTACACGAGAGAGGAAATAGCAAGTTGATTTTACCAAGAAATTGTCAGAGCCCAGGCTTCTAGTTCAGAGTGCCAGGCCCTAACTCCAGCTGCTACAGGAGCCTCACTTGGACCAAACCAAAGGCATGGCTGAGTCTGGGCACCAGAGGCCCCAGACATCTGGGAGGTAGTGGAGGAGGGGGAAACACGTCCGAATATATATAACTGGTTCTGGCCCCTGCCCTCAGGCCACCGGGGCATACCAGCTCCAGGGCAGCTGAAAGGGGCAGGTCCCAAGGGGGAGGTCGTAGGGACAGCTGTCACGGAAGCTGAATTCACATTGATCCTCTGGATTCTCTAGGGTTTCTGCAAAGCCCTTCCATCCAGCTTGGCTGAGCACTGGCTCACAGACAGACATCCTGCCTGCCCTTGGCAATAGTTCCCCATCTGAGAGTGTGATGTACTAGTGTGGTTAGATTTTGAAACCCCGAAACCTATGCCATATATAAGACACTGTGGAAGGAAGGTAGTTGGGATGTGGTAAAGAGATGAACCAGAAATGTTCTTTGCCATCTTGTGGGAAGATAGATGAGCGAAGTGAGTCTGAACTAATAGATGGTATGTACAGTGGAACCTCGGTTCTCGAACTTAAACTCGTTCCGGAAGGCTGTTGGAGAAGCAATTTGTTAAAAAACCAAATCACTTTTTTTCCATTAGAAATAACGTAAATGGAATTAATCCTTTCCATACCCCCAAGTGATTACCTCTTTTAACCTATCTAATATATAGTACATGTCTACTGTACTGTTTAATCTGCAAACACTTCTTTTCTTAAATTTACCGACTCATCCCCTACCAGCCTCAAAGGAATCACTTTCAGGAAATCAGCATGAGGCATCTTCGATTTTTCACATATCACTGCCTCTGATAGGCTGTCACCTGCTAGCTGCTTTTCCTTTATCCAAATCAACAACAGTTTCTACCTCTTCCATTGCCTGGCATCGTTTCTTTCACAACCTTAGCAACATTAGCACTCTTGATGGCCTCTTTATGTTTTAAAATTGTGCTGATCCTATTTGGCCAGCAACAAAAACATTCTCCCTTTTGTTGCCTGAGAGATGCCTTCTGTCATGATGAGGTGTCAGCCTGAAAGGGTTGTCGGGTCAAAAAACAAAGTTTGGTTCACAACAACTTGGTGGAGAACCGAATTGTTGGAGGTGGGAGACGTTCAAGAACCGAGGTTTGACTGTAGTCAGAGTCAGAGAGGAAGAGAGAACAATTCTAACTGGGAGCTACCTGGAGGAGGTGACATTTGGCCAGGGTTTTGAATGTTCAGAAAATTTGGGTGAGCAAAGAGGACAAGGCAAGATATACTTCCAGCTGGAAAGCGTCTCCTACCATTTATAAGAGAAAGTTAAAATAAGAATTGATCAATTTCCCACAGACATAGGGCTAGAGACTGGACATTTCCATTTTCCCCAGGGACAGGACTGCCAGCTTTTCGAGATCATTAAGTAGAATTTCTGGGTTCAGATTGTCACCATCGTTCGAAACAATCATGTGTTCTCCAGGTTTTTGTCATTGTCTGGGTGTCCCCTGGATCCTCATATGTAGACTAACTCCTGTGCTTGGCTTCCTTGCCATGTGGAGCAGATTACATGGCAGCCTGTAAAATTTATATTATGCTGATCTCCGTGTAGATGTTTGAGATTTTGTTCACTTTATACACATCCATCTAGCTCCAAACATAAATACCATCTTCAAGAAGTAAAGATAAATTTTAAGTCAGTTTTGAGTGGAGATAAGTTCCGATATTTGGCTATTTGAGTAGGTTGGCACACACCCCGTATCAGAACTGGGCAAGAGTTCAGAATGTGCACCCTGTATCATGGGGATTAGAGGACAGGGAGCTTAGTTCTGCATTTCAAAAAGTGTTAATGCAGCAATGGTAGCCCCTCTTGGGACTACCTGAAAGAAAAGCCAGCCCTCGGAGTGGAGATGAAAAGGGTAAGAGGTGAGCAGATGAAAAGGGCAGGTGGAGGTTTCGCCATAGATCTCCACTAAGCGCAGCAAGGAGTGGATGCCGTGCTGGACTCACCTCCAGCCCTGCCTGGGTTCCTCAGGCTGTTGCCAGAAACTGGATTCGGCTCAGTTCATGTAGTGGTGGTAGCAAGGTGGAAGAAGAAACTCCATTCTCTCTTCTTCCTACCCTGTTGCTCCCTTTCCTTCCCCACCCCTCCCACCAAGAGAGAAATCCTGGCTCTAAGTCTGCTAGGCCTTTACCATCCACCTTCCTGGGCACAGGACAGATGACCATGGGGTAAGGGTAACCTGTCCAGCAAGTAACCAGTGCCGGAGGCATCTCTGTTCTGTCTGTTAACTCCCTCTCTTCAAGTCTAGCTAACCTCTCTTCTTCTGCCTCTTCTCTTCTGCTAACCTGCTTGCTGACCTGTACAGATGAACTCTATCAACAACTTGAGCAAAACCGTCGCCTAACTAACCAACTAAAGCTGGCCCTGAATGAGGATTAAACTTAAGTGGGAAAGAGCTTGGGCTGAATTCTAGGAATGGAGCCCATGGTCAGAAATCTAAGACTGTTATACCTTCAACTGTAGGGGTTGCTTCTGTAGAAATGAACATGGAAGGATACAGCTGAAAAGCTGGTCTTGCCTGCATTTTCCTCTCATATCTGGAATATTTCAGTTCTCTTTAATCCTGAAATAGTTTTTATGGTAAAATACAATCATTGTGTATATGAATAAATATTTATAACAATCAATTTAGCACTCCTCTTTGCAACACAAGGTCCTCTTGTTTGAATTGATACATAATGAAGACCTCAAAAAAATTGTTTTCTATTTCCTACAGAGAACTGAGTCCTACTTTAAGTTAGAAAACCAAAGCAGAGGGGTGTGCATGTGTATAACTATATACATATATATATTATATGTGGGATGTAATATATATAATATGTACATTCCTATTATATACTCATATTCCTAACTTCTAATATCTGGTATAGTGTTTGAAATATTATTAAATGTACCTATGCTTGGGCAAAATAGCTTTTGAAAACAGGAGCTCATGTCAGAAGTCCCCGATTGTCTGAAAGGTATGCTTTTATTCAGTCTAACGGTGTTGCTGGAATCTAGTGAGAATGTCATGTGATAATAAATAGAACACTGTAAGAATAGTAAGAGAATGTCCTACTGAAGTGTGCATGAAACATGTTGATAACTTTTTTTAATGAGCAACCAAAATAAATCATTTCAAAAGTTGTCAGAAAACCTAATTTATGTCATCTGTTTTCTGTGAGATTGTGTTACAGCACAACTCCCAGACCATTAACTGCCTGTAACTCAGACGTGTCTGTTGTCATTAACTTCGTGCTGCCAGCACCTCTCCCTGTTCCCACAGCGCACGGCCGTGGACCTTCACCAGCCTCACCTGCGTGTTGTTCTCAGGGTGGAGTGCTGGTGGGGGTCGCCCGGCTGCTCTGTGAGAGCCTTCTGTGCCTGTAGTTCCTCTGGGTCACAGACGGCTTCCCTCTCCGTAGGTCCTTGTCTGGAAATGAGGAATGTCTTACAAGCATGCCTAGTCCTAATCATCTCATCCTGTGTTTGTGATTGATGTTTGCCTGCCTAAATGTACAAACCACCATTGTGTCCAAAGCGCAGCTATTCATGACTTAATTTTCTAATCCCACCACAGAGAAAGTGGCTCATGCCAAAGAAGAAAACCTTAGTATGCATCAGATGCTGGATCAGACTTTACTGGAGTTAAACAACATGTGAAAACCTCCTTAGCTGCGACCACATTCGTTCATGTTGTTTTTGTTGCTTTTTGTCTTATTTTGTGTTTTTGGTTTTTTTTTAACACCATGCTTACCATGAAACCCCTTAAATGCATTTTTATTTACTTTTACCACTGTCACAAAAACACCCACAAGTACGGCTGCATCATGGGGTGGGGAAACACACACACACAAAGGCAGCCCCCTGTCAGAGCGAGGGCGATTTCAATGTGCCATTTCCCAGGTTGACGTTGCCACACTTCCTAGAGAGTTTAGCAACACGGTATGCTTAGTCAGTCTAGCAATCCTCACTGGAGCAGAAAGATCCCCACTCAGAGTGCCAACGACATAATCAATAGGAAGATTACTGTTGGAAACAAGCAGGTGTGGATTGGTGCTACTTGAAACAAAAGGTCCCACTGTGGTCTTTTGTTCAATGTTGTACAATTTAGAATTCTGTCCAACACTAATTTATTTTGTCTTGAGTTTTACTATGAGACGAGACTATGGATTCTGTGTGTCCGAATTCATTAAAGCCAAGAGTTTGTAAGCCACACTGCTCTTCCAAGACTTCTATTTCCTTCTTACCGGCACACTTGGAGCTCATTTCCATTCGTAGGATAGCAGGCAATGTGGATTTCCACTCTTTCTGTGTCCTCATGTTAAAGTGGAAATTTAGGCACTACATGCAATTGATAAAGAAAAAAAACATTTTCTTAAGAGTGATAACTACAGTAGCTCCCCTCCCTTTATCCACGGGGATTATGTTCCAAGACCCCTAATGGATGCCTGAGACCGTGGATAGTACTGAACCCTGTATGCTACGTGTGGTTTCCTGTACATACATTCCTTTTCACTTGGGGAGCACTTTACAGCTTCTCTTTGGCATATCGGAATTGCCAGCATCACCACTCTTGCACTTTGGGGCCATTAAGTAAAGTAAGGGTCACTTAAACACAAGCACTGTGATACTGAGATGGTCAATCTGTAACCAAGATGGCGACTAAGTGCCTAAAGGGCGGGGATCGTAGAGTGTGGGTGCTGGACCAAGGGATGATGCATGTCCCGGGCGGGACGGAACGGGACCGCGCAAGATTTCAACACGCTACTCAGAACGACGCGCAATTTAAAACGTATGAATTGTTTATTTCTGAAATCTTTTCATTTAATATTTTCCAACCATGGTTGACCTCGGTTAACTGAAACCAAGGACCACGAAACCGCGGATAAGGGGGGACTACTGTACATAAAGACATTGTATAATGATATGGAATAAAATGCACATTGTAGGACATTTTCTAAACTTGGTGGTCCTGTCGTTTGTATGTTTTTACTTTGTGAACTTTAGATCATGTGATCAACCTACCTTCTCTCATGAGTGGTTTCTTAAAGCAAAACAATAAACCAAAATCAGGGGAAAACTGGGTTCCATGTATTATCCTCCCAAAACATTTGAGGCAGCATCTCTTTTGGTCTGTTCAAGTGACCAGCAAGCTGAAAAGACCCTTCCCCAAAGCCTTTCTCTGTGTTGTTGGTGTTAATCTGCATACACATAGAGGCCTTTTGTAGTAATTCTGCTGGTTTGGAGATTGTCCCTCAAATATTAGCTAAATCTTCAGCAGTGGCATACACACGCATCAACAGACAGTGGGTTGAGCACCAAACCTACGCTCTCTACCAGCAGTGTGACTCTACTTAGAAGTATTGCTTTAAGAGCCTTTATGATTTTCTGCTTTCTAACAGTGAGTTCTAAATTCCAATACATCTTTATTTCCTCAGACTTGGAAACTGAAAATATAGACTGTTTGACTTTAAGCTAACAAACAAAAAAGGTTACAAGCACTGGTAGTTGGCCGGACTTGTGCTGCGCGGAGAAGAGGGACATCCTCATGAAAAGCAAACATGGTGGACTAGAAATAAAACGCATTCGGATGCATGGGTAATGGTTTCTCTGTAGCTGCTCTTCCAAGCCCTTTGATCAGGTATTTCCTCTTCACAGAAAAAAAGTGTAAGGTGAATAAACGCTCTGGGTCTCACTTCTTCACCACCATAGGCTCCCCCCTGCCAGTCCTCACTAGACGGACACCTCTCTGCCCACCCTGGTCAGAGGCCTTTCCTAAACCCAGCACTCTTGCACTGTGGGAGCCAGATCTGGCTTCCTCTTTACTAGCTGTCTAGCCTGTCAGGTCCCTGAATCTGAGATTCCTCATCTCTGAAAGGGGGAGATTAGTACCTAGCTCTTTGGTGATGATTGTAGAGTTCGAATGGATAGCCCATGTAGTAATGTACATAGCACAGCCCCTGGCACCTGCTTGATGACCATTAACTGCTGCTGTCCTCAGCCTGCCATGTTGGTAGGCCACCACGGACAGTATTTAATATCCTCCTTGGTGAAGCTGGGGCAATGCTAACTTTGCCCCAAATGATAATGGGTTTTTGTTGTTGTTCGAGAGAGTGGAATCAGACACGGGATTCTTCAGTCCATGGGCTGATGTACTGTCCACTGAACCCAACCAGCTAGGGCCAGATGATGATGGTTATTAATGCTATTCTCAGATCCCATGTGCCAGGACCTGTAGTGAGCACCTGACAAGTGTTATTTCAGCTTCACATCTGTTCCCATTTTACTAACAGGCTCAGGGAGGCTGAGTGAACCTACTCAGTTCCATAGCTCACAAGTGGTGGGGTTGGGTTCCAAACCCAGAGCTGAGTGACAGCAAAGCCTTGTGTGGATTCTTCCTCTCCTTGTTTCAGATGTTTTACAGCAGAAGAAAGGCACCTACGTCTAGTAACTAGACGTAGAAACAGATGAAGCAGCAGGTATAGTTGGGAGAGGAGGAAACACAGTGACCACAAGTGGGTGGTTGAACTTCCTCCCTGGGTCCCAGGGATCAGATGAAATCAATTAATGAACATCATGCCATTTCAAAGAATTAGTACCTGATCTTTCTGATAAATAGAAAAGGGAGGACACCCTGTCCCCACATGACACACACCTTGGTTCTGACCCAGTGAGATAAATGGAACACGCCGCTCTGTGAGGTCAGGGGAGAGAGATTAGGGCTCTTCAGTGTGGCAACGCCGAGGCTGGGAGCCCATGTGGTCACCTTCAGAGAACCGTGAAGTACAGAGAAGGAATTCAGGATTCATACTCTAAATTCCATTGCTGAAACCAGGCAGGCCCAGACTTCAGCACGAACAGCTGGAAGGTGCCCTGTTGAGAGTAAAACACTGTGGAACTCTACAGAGAAAGGCTTAGGAGAATATAAGCATCTCCCGAAAATGTTTAAATTTGTGATGAGAGTTCTATAATCTGTCATTAAGGATGAAAGAAAAGGGCTTTGTGGATACAGTCTGAGATGCGTTGAAGAGAAGAGTTCCCCTACTTATTGATCCTAGAGGTGCCAATATCGTTCACTAGTATGTGTCCTCCAGGATTTAATACATTTAGCCTGGTCTTTTTTTCTCCAGAAAACAAAAAGTCTTTTTCTTGAACAAATATTTGAGTGTATGTTAACCATTTTTTTCTACTTGTCAACACGATTTGTAGATGTGATTTTTTTTTCAATCTACAGTCAGATGTTCAGGAAAAAAAATCTGAATTATCCAATTAAAAAAAAAAAGAAAGCACAGAGGTGCTCAGGGAGCCATCATTTTAAGAATTGGAGACAGGGGTTTGGAAAGAAATTAGAAATGTCAGGCAGTGCAAGAAGTGTTCCTTCCATTATATACACTTTTTGACACTGAGGGTTTTCAGAGCTACATTCCTCCAACAGATGTCATAAATTCTGTGTGTCAAACCGTGCATGCAGCTATGCTGAGGTTTCACTAATACGAATGCAACTTTTGCCAAACTTTTGACAAATGGGTATTGACCTGGAGGGTGGAACTGGTTTCTGCTGCCTGTGAGTTTTATTTCCATCGCTTGCCAGGGCCGTGGAGAGCAGAGTGGAGTGCAGACCTTATCAGGGCCTGCCAGGGCCGATGCCCTAACTGAAATGCCGATTCAGGGCGGGAAGAAGGCTTATGTTCATCGAGGCCTAGAGACAGTTAGCCGGTTAGCGGCTTGCTCAAGGTCATTCAGCTGGTGGGGTCAACCCCGTGGAGCTCAGCTCTCCTGTGGGGCAGGCAGCCCGTGTGGGGGTTGGCAAGCAGAGGGGCCAGCTTTGAATCCTGCTCCAGCTCTCACTGTGTGCTCTGGGTTAATTTCACCTTTTGAGCAGCAAGTTCTTTATCCTTCAAGGAGATAGATGGTTTGCCTCTTCACGTGCTTGTGCGCTTCTTCGCAAGGCTGAGAACAAAACGAGGTGAGGTGATGTGAGTAGAGTCCCTCTCCCCCCTTACTCTTCCTCCACTTCCTTTCTGCTCCTCAGCCCTGAGCCTCCTTCCCACACTGCATTGGGTCTTTAGGGAAACTGGAAATAACTTTTTTCCTCTTAAACGTGAAAATCCCCAGTACCACTCCCCCAGAGGCCACTCATTGCATTGCACGAATTCAAAATATATTTGTTGATAGGACAAATGGCCCAAGACACAAATGCTAAAGTAATAATTCTGGAGTCACGACCCACCTGTACACAGGAGGTGAAGAATGTCTCAAAGTAATAGGTTCACATTTCATTTTGAAGCAAAACACTGGCCCTTGAAAATAGGTTTCTGTTGCTCCATCCATGGACTGCCCTGGGCATGCTGCGGAGTGAGGTGGCAGAGCATGGGATCGGCTCCAAGGCCTTGCTGCAGGCGTCAATGAAGGCGGTTCAGACCTCACTCGCTCTTGAGGAACCACTTGGCGGGACCACTTCCGAATCCAGAGGAAAGCTAATGAGGGAAAGGTAAAAAGCCCTTTGTGTGTGTGTGACCGAGGGAGATTCTCCATTCTGTCTCCCAAGGGGCCCACCAGGCCTGGCTGGGCCGGAGGCGTGGAAGAGTTGGCTCCTCTGGGTGGATGGTGTGTGGGGATGGGGATGAAGAGGTGGTGAGTTCTGATCTGTTTTCAACTCAGAAGATACTCAGGGTTTGGAATACTGCCTTGCCAGTGGAACTCTTGTTGCCTAGACTCATAAATCGAATATTAAACTCCCAAGTACATGCAGTGGAATAATGTAGCCCCCATGGCCTTCTAATGAGCCAGGTTTTGATATACTGATCACATCTCACATCAGCACCCCTGGCCCCCACCCATCCTAAGCCCACTTCCTCTGGGAAAACCATGTTTGACAATAAAACAAAGTGCCAAGTAACCCCTTGAATCACGCTGTGATCAAAGGACATGGAGGAGGAAGTGCCTCTAACCCTTCAAGGTTCCTTCAGCTGGTCTACATGGTCAAATTAACAAGCAAAAATAGCTAAACTTAACTACATATGTTCGTATGAGAATCCCACATACATGAGGCTCAGAAATAGGTTAAAATGAGGTATATATGACTTTTTAAAATTGATTTCAGAGAGGAAGGGAGAGGGAGAGAGAGAAACATCAATGATGAGAGAGAATCATTGATCAGCTGCCTCCTGCATGCCCCCAACTGGGGATCAAGTCTGAAACCCCGCATGTGTCCTGACCAGGAATCTAACCATAACCTCTTAGTTCATAGGTCAGCGCTCAACCACTGAGTCACACCAGCTGGGTTATATGACTTTCTGAATAGGGATAAGACGAGATACTTTGCAGCTTCAGAGGGAAGAAAGGTTGTTTGCAGACAAAAGAGCAGATTTTCAATAATGAGATGTTGGCCCTGCCCTGTGGATAGATAGGTCATAATATGTTATCGCTAGAAATAACTCTAAGTTATTTACAAGGCCCGAGTTTACATTCTTTAAGGAAGAGGTAAAAGTTTCATGAGCCAGAGGGTCTTGATTACCTTTAGTTCAAGATAATTTACATGCCAAAGTGGCACATCTTGGGGAGACCCTGAACCCATTCAACACCATTAGCTGATACAAAATGGTGAAGTATTATTGCTAAAAACCCAGTGAGCAGCCTATTAGAAATGTGCACCAGACCTCTAGTAGGTCTATAACAGAGTTGCATCTTATTGGTCATGTCGCGTAATGAGTTTGCATCTAATTGGTTAATTATTTTATTTTTATTATTTTTAATCCTTACCCAAGGCAGAAGGTTTTTCGTTTTTGTTTTTAGGTGGCTCCATAGAGATGGCTAGCATGTCTGCATCTGGGAACCCAGCTAGGGCGTAATTGTTGGCTTATTCAACTGGAAGATTGCCATTCCGTGATTTGTCTTCCTGCTATGTTCTCAGAAATGGTTCTTTCTAGAACACTCCAGGATTGTCTGCCTTAGCAGTTTCGCAAGAAATTAAAAGGGAACAAGGTAGAATAATTTGCCTAGGAGTAGGAATGTACTAAATGTAAAGAAAATGTGCCTCAATGAAGTGTTTCTAGTCTCAAATCCTGAATATATTGCTCACATCTCTTCAATCGCTAATCCTCTACTTAAAAGTTCTATCTGGGGATGTCTACTGTTTCTGTCTTGTGCTCTTTCTCCTCTGACTAATTTTGTTATTATTCTAACCCAGCAATTTTCAAATTATCTCATGTCACAACAAACTAATTCCTAAAATTCTGCAGCACACCAAAAAATATATTTTTTGCCAATCTGACAAAAAAAATGGGTATAATTTTGATGGATTTACAAAAAAATTAATAATAATACTAATTACCTACCCTTTTTGTTCCAAACTGACTTTCTAAAAAATCAGGTGCTGCCCTGGCTGGTGTGGCTCAGTTGGTTGGAGCATCATCCCATACACCAAAGGGTCGTGTATTTGATTCCTGGTCAGGGCATATACCCAGATTGAAGGTTTGATCCTCAGCCAGGGTGTGTATGGCAGGCAACCAACTGATGTTTCTTTCTCACATTGATTTTTCTCTCTCTCTCCCTCCCCCTTCCCCTCTCTCTCTCTCGAATCAGTAAATACATATCCTTGGGTAAGGATTAAAAATAATAAAAATAAAATAATTAACCAATCAGATGCAAACTCATTTTGCGACATGACCAATAAGATGCAACTCTGTTATAGACCTACTAGAGGTCCGGTGCACATTTCTAATAGGTTGCTCACTGGGTTTTTAGCAATAATACTTCACCATTTTGTATCAGCTAATGGTGTTGAATGGGTTCAGGGTCTCCCCAAGATGTGCCACTTTGGCATGTAAATTATCTTGAACTAAAGGTAATCAAGACCCTCTGGCTCATGAAACTTTTACCTCTTCCTTAAAGAATGTAAACTCGGGCCTTGTAAATAACTTAAAGAGTTATTTCTAGCGATAACATATTATGACCTATCTATCCACAGGGCAGGGCCAACATCTCATTATTGAAAATCTGCTCTTTTGTCTGCAAACAACCTTTCTTCCCTCTGAAGCTGCAAAGTATCTCGTCTTATCCCTATTCAGAAAGTCATATAACCCAGCTGGTGTGACTCAGTGGTTGAGCGCTGACCTATGAACTAAGAGGTTATGGTTAGATTCCTGGTCAGGACACATGCGGGGTTTCAGACTTGATCCCCAGTTGGGGGCATGCAGGAGGCAGCTGATCAATGATTCTCTCTCATCATTGATGTTTCTCTCTCTCCCTCTCCCTTCCTCTCTGAAATCAATTTTAAAAAGTCATATATACCTCATTTTAACCTATTTCTGAGCCTCATGTGACAGACAAATCCAGCAGGATGTAGAGAAGGAGGGATTGATGTTAGAGAGTAGATGGAAAGTTGTGTTGATGAGGGTGGGCAAAGGAGTAGGTCCAAGGTTTGCAGGGCGAGAGAGAATGTCCTTTAGTGAGGGAGGGATAGGTTGGGATTAATAAAGACAATTATAGTAGAATTGATGACTCCCTCAACATCCCAAGTCCATTTCATCTGAAAATATTAAAAACCTGAGCTTCTTTCAGAGTAAAAAGTCGGAGGGTCCCTTGCCAGGTAAGAGCCTGTGAGGAGTGAGGAGTCATCGGGTCCTGGATGGTGCCGCTGAGTCTTCTTCGGGGATGGTGGGAGGCATTTGGTGAGCCTGAGAGAGGTAGGTATTGCAGTGAAAAGTGGGAGGGAATGTTAGAATGGGCTGTATCCAAGGGAAAAGAGAATAGGAAGGAAAGGAGCAGTGGAAGCCGGGGACCTGGATGGTTGGATAAGAAAAGAAGTAAGACACTGTGCTGGCTTAACTTCTTATTTTTACTGAACCTTAATCCTTGCTGTTTTTCTGAATATTCTGGTTTAGCTTAAGAAGTATCGCCCTGACCAGTTTGGCTCAGTGGATAGAGCGTCGGCCTGCAGACTGAGGGGTCCCAGGTTCGATTCCGGTCAAGGGCATGTGCCTTGGTTGCGGGCACATCCCCAGTGGGAGGTGTGCGGGAGGCAGCTGATGGATGTTTCTCTCTCATCCACGTTTCTAGCTCTCTATCCCCTCCCCTTCCTCTCTGTAAAAAATCAATAAAATATATTTTAAAAAAATAGCAGGATGTATATGATAGCATGGCAAATTGAGAGTCAATGATACAGGAATGCATTGAAACAGACATTGTGCCCCCTTCCTGGAAGATTTTTAACCACCTGAAGGCAATGGAAACAGCTCTCTTGGGCATGCTGTATAATTTCCTCAGGAGTCTCCAGCCACAGGCCGGTCTCAACTCACCCTTACCTGTCAAACCTTAGAAACAAGATCTCTGCTAGTTTGGTTTTGCTATTTACCCTAGCCCACCAAGCTTTTTGTTCTCTCTTTTTTTTCTTTAATGTTTTTATTGATTTTTTTTTTTTTAGAGAGAGGAAAGGAGAGGGAGAGAGATAGAAACATCCATCCACTGCCTCCTGCACACCCGCCACCGGGGATCGAGTACGATACCCGGGCATGTGCCCTGACTGGGAATCGAACCAGCAACCTCTTGGTACATGGGATGACATTCAATCCACTGAGCCATTCCGGCTGGGCAAGCTTTTTGTTATTTATTGTAGGTTTCTTCAGCTGGCCTTCATTTAAGATTTCTCCCCTCCTACCTATCCCCACCCCTTGTTTTATGCCATTTAATCGGGGGATGGGGAGGAGATCTTACTACACACTTTTGCTTTCATCCTAGCACATCTGTCAATCTTCAGAACAAAGAGCAGAGTATAATAAACAATTACATAGATGCTGAGAGACTATAAAGTCTGCTTTCTACTCCAGCAGGGAGGTGGAGGAGCTGGGAGTCACCTCGACACTCTGCCCTGGGGAGACTCCCCAGTGTTCTTCCTTGTGGTCCTTAGAGAAGACAGTGGCCTCATCGGCTGGGGTCACCAGACTTCGGCCTCCCTAATGTTAGGAGCCCTGGGGATCTCCAGATAACCCCTTTCCCAGCCTTCCAGGAAAGATGAAAAGTGAGGTGGTGTGCCAGACAGAATTGGGTTTCACGACTGGGTAGATAGGAGCAGCCGGGGGTAGTGAGGTCTTTTGCTTTTCTAGTTGTGGTTCCCACCCAGGAAAGATAAAGTGTTACTGATAAACGTGGCACACTGAAATTTGGATTGAAAAAACTAACCTGGAGGATTAATTTCAGTTTGTAGAACAGCAATAGAGACATGTTATGTAGTTAAGGGAACATGTAAATTTCATGCAGCAATTTGCAAGTTCAAATGAAAAGCTCTTTGCTACATTTGGATACAGGGTTCAAAGTAAATAAACTGAAATGTACACACAAAGTTCAAGCCACAGTAAAACTGAGTTTATGTCACAAAACATTATAAGAACAATAGAGAAAATCTATAAAGTAACAGGTCACTCATAATCTCACCACAATTTAAAACATTTTCCATGGATTTTGCCTTTGTGC